TCCTAAAAATGGATATTAAAAGAAATAGATCACAACAATATTAGTAGCTGCGGTGTGTTCATTCATCTTAGGGTTTGTATTTTGCGGTTGTTTCATTATTATACACACAGGTACAATGTTTATGTTCTGAGCCCTATATATAAAAGAATCGATTCCTTGGTGTTCTTGATGTTTGGACGTTCTTTGTGATTCCGATTTTCTAATTCCGCTGATATTTCAGCTCTACAAATGCATCTAAATAGACTAGAAATTATGTCAACCTTGACTAAATGCAATAACTCTTTTATGACCTTTTGAAGTTAGATGAGATTAAATTTCACATCCTTTTCGCGAAATAAATATTATTATTATTATTATTATTATTATTATTATTTTCTAGAAGAAATAAATACGAGAATGATAAATGAAAGAAAAAAAACTAGATTCAACAATGGCAAGGTGGACTATAAACAATCGTTTGACATATTCAACAATGGCAAAGATTGACTATAGACAATCATTTGACAACTACTAATGACTAATTTAAATTATGTATGTATTTGGATATGATACAGATTTTAGTAGCGTAGGACTTGGGATTGATTTCTATTTTATTTTCATTCTTGGCGTGAATTTAATTATTTATTAGTACTTATAAAAAAAGTAGGTATTTTAATTAAAATTACATTTCTCACTTTTTTCGATGCGTTCTTATCATCGACTTTACTTTATTTAGCACATCTCGTCTACAATAATGATTTTCGTTCAAAAAGTTTGTTGGGAATGCGACTTATTTATCTATAATATTCTAAAAAATACAATAAATGCGAAAGTACCACAATATTTTCCATGCATTTCAAAGTATACAAACGTAATATTTTGAAAGAAAAAACCTTTGAGGACGAGCTGCCCTAATTAATTAAAATTGAAGATGAGAATTTGACAAGGCATAAAATATTATAATAATGAGTACAGGTTGAAGAATTTAAGTTGGAAAAGGAGCATGGAGAGATGCTTTTGCCCATCAAAAAATTGGGAAACTGCAATTTACACGCTGAGTTCACGGGTTTCTAGATGGTTAAAGGTCCTATGGAGCCTAATTTCCCTAAGGTTGAAGATTAGGTACCTTGTTTCACCTCTTGAAAAGATTAGACTTCATCTGTAAAACCTTCGTCT